ATGAATTTTCTCAAGCAGATTTACGTGCAAGTTATGAAATAATTCATCGATTATGTGAACGAGCTGGAAGACAATGTAATATTTGATAAAATTTATTTTTAAAGAAATAACTGAAACGTTTCTTTTTGTAGCCTCAGGGGAAATTCAATGGAACTATATTCATGGTTTATTTGATCAAGCTATTTATGGTGGCCGTGTTGATAATCCGACTGATACAGATGTGTTAAGATCTTATTTAGCTCAATATTTTAATGCGGCTATTATTGGTGGAGCAAAAGGATTGAAGAGTAGATTAACATCGAATATTAATTTACCGAATTCAACAGAACTTCATGTACGTATACTGCAGAGCATCTTCGTAAACATAGATTTATCGGCGCTATAATGCTAGTACTTTCTCTTACATTGGCTCCTGCCAGGAACTAATCTTTTTCTCTAGAGATTTGCCATTCAATTCTTTACAACAATGGAATTTGCTATTCTATTAATGTAAATAATGTCTGCCATTTCCGAAATAATAATTCAGACGAATAATTCAAAATGAAAAACGGTCTAGTGCAATGTTTTGTCTCCTGCTTTTCTTCATGTTATTTTTCCTCATGTAAATAGTTCAATGTATTTAAATTTGAACTATTTGGTAAATAATTGGAATCGGAAAAGTTGTCGTGACGGTATTTTTTATATAATTTGTGAGTGTACTATTTCAGGCATTGACATATTGAAATCATCACGTTGAGAATGATGATCATATTCAAACAAGAGAAGCTAAATTACTCAAAATGTATCCTGAATGTTCATTTAATTACATTAAAACATACCAATACGATTTTTACGCAAAACGAACTATTTTAATAGTTCGATAGGTCAGATATAATATGAAATAACAACTTTTCTCGTCTGTTTGTAATTAAAATATATCGATACATTTTTTCCTAAAACACTCCGTTTTTCAAAAACTATATAATTTTGTAATTGTTTAGGATTATAAAAAAATTTGCGACGGTTTAAACGATGATGATGCACCTAGTTTATTTGGTTTACCAGCCAATATTGAACGATCAGCACAACGAATGAATAGTGCACAAGTAAGAAATAAAAAGTCCTAAATAGTTCTTGACAGAAAACAAAATAAAAATAAATAAATTTTTGTAGATTATAAATTCTTTGAAAATTCTTCAACGTACGGATGTGGAAGTAGAAAAGTTTGATAAAGATAAATGGAGTGCATTATTAACACCCTTACTTAATCTATGGAAGAAATTAAATCAGGTAACAAATGAAAAAGAATTTTTATTGGTTTCTAGAAGAAAAAAAAAACATTTCTTTTCTAGGATGGAGATTTATTCAAATTAAAAGTTCAGCTGCCAACTGAAGATGGTTCATTGTCACCAATTCAATCATTTCTTCAATTGGAACGCTACAATGGTATTCAACTAGTTCAAACCATTCATGAAAATTTAGCTTCATTATCAAAAGTTATTCGAGGAATTAGCTTAATTACAAATGAAATACAAGAATATGCTAAAGATCTACTTCAAAATGAGGTAAGAAAACAAGCATAAAGAAAAAGAACATTTTTCAAAGTTTCATGGTGTTAGCGGCACATATTTCTTGTCTAATTTAATTTCTTTAAAGTTTATAGATGTATTTCCATTGTATGTTCAGCGATCAAACTTAACCAATTATTTCTTTAAATTTTAAACTGAAAGATCATAGGTTCCAGTTTTTATTCTTTTATATTAATTGATCTACACGAAAAACACGAGTGAAACGTACGGTACACCGACAATCTTTTCATAGCTAGTTAATCAGTCGGCTATTCTATCGAAGTATACCGATAGTTATTCTTTAAAAGGCACTATAGTTTCAGTATCATTCTGACTCTTATGAATACCACCAGTAGTGGGAAAGAAGTGGCACGAATCGTATAGACAAATTTACTACATATTATTAAACGAGTTTCATGAGTACCTCTCATGTAAGAAGAGTTTCATTATGTCGTACTAATAAAAAGTACTCTTAAAATAAATTATATATATATATATATATATGTCTACTTTAATTTTTCTCGTTATCATGACATTTAATCATTAACATATCTTACAGTTGATTTCCTATGACAGATTAGAAAAATGTTGAGTAATTAAACAGGCAAAGTATTCCAGTACCGGATCTACAAATTTCAGACTGTAGCCTATAGGGAAGACTCTATTTTTTTACAGAAAACCATGAGGAATTATGTAAACCTGATCAATAAGTTTTTCGAAACCAAACTATATTTCTAATATTAAAATATGGTTGGCCGTAGAAAGGCCGAAAGGAAAAATATCGAAAGGGAAAATACCAAAAGAAAAACACCGAAAGAAAAATATCGAAAGGGAAAAATGTCGAATGGATAAATGTCGAAGAGAAAAATGTCGAAAAGGAAAAATGTCGAAAGAAAAATATCGAAAAGGAAAAATGTCGAAAACAGAAAAGATAAAAAAAGCGACGTCTACTAAATGAAGGTTCTAATAGTTTGTTGTTCATTGTTGTTGATCTGATTATTCCATTGGTTTGACAATGATAACCCTTGATACTATTGATAAGTAATATCTTATGAAAACTAGCTAAAATAGGCGTAAAATAGTATACAACGATTAAAATTTTATCATGATGACTACAGCTTGCTCATTTTTATCTGGTGAGAATCATCCGCCAACTCCAGTTATTTCATTTATTCAGTCGTAAAAAGGAAAACCTTTCCTTGTATCAGATAAATATATTTTCAAACTGAATACAACAGCAACAACTAGTAAATATTGGATATGTGTATTTTTCTTTATAACTCTTATTTATCTATGATCTATGCTATGATGCTATTATGATTTCAAGAATAAAAACATCTTAGTGCAAATTTTCGATATTTTTCCCTTTCGATATTTTTTCTTTCGATATTTTTCCTTCGACATTTTTCTTTCGACATTTTTCCTTTGGTCATTTTCGATATTTTTCCTTTCGATATTTTTCCCTTTCGACATTTTTCCTTTCGGTCTTTCTACGGCACACCTAAAATATTCCTAATGGACTCAGCAATTCTAGATTCATTACAACAAAATAGAAACATAAAACCAAACTAATAACTATAAAGTACTTGCTGATACAGCAATTCATAGAATTGTAATTCTATAAAATTATAGAATTTACTTTTAGTTATTTAAATAACGAAATCGCGGATTAATATTATCGTGATTCATCAATGAAAACGTGTGACTTGTAGAGAATGATAGATTATATTCTTTGAAAATTCTCAAACATTATATGATTTTGTGCGTTTTCTATCTTCTATTTTCATAATGTACTTTGCTACCGAAAGATTTCAGTATCAATAAGAAACACATTCTACTTCTTGTTCTGATTAATTATATTTCTCTAGTCAGTTGTAACTTTGATCACATTTATGTTTTTATTCACTATAGTACATTACTGACAGTTATATACATGATTTTATTAGAAAATGAGAGAATAATTGGTTCACTTAATATAATATTAAGTACCATTTAGATCTATATGTAACAAATGAAATCGTACATAAAAACGATTAATTGATATTTAATTTGTAGGAGAAAATAATTATGTTATTCATATAGATTTCCAGTAAAAACATGATATTTTAACGATTTAGACTCCACAGACATGGCAAAATCGTTGGGAAGGTCCAACAGATTCACTACAATATTTACGTACTGTTGTATCAAAAGCAAAAGCAATGCAGAAAATGATAACATCTATGAAAGATCAAGATATATTTTCTCAATCAATTAACTTATCAGATCTGTTTCGGCCAGATACATTCCTAAATGCATTGAGACAGCAAACAGCACGAGCAACTAAACAACCGATGGATACATTAGTATTGAATACATCATGGTCTGGAGAAGTTAAACATGGAAAAAATATTTCAATAAAAATCACTGGCTTACAATTAGAAGGTTGTTTATTTGATGGTGGCCGATTAAGTGAAAGTGCACCTGACTCGCCAAGTGTTAATGCATTTCCGGCATGTTACATCGCTTGGCTACCTCGGGTATATTAACTATATTTTTGTTTTATGTATAATTAAAATTTGTTTTTTTCTTCTTTTAACTTCTAGGATAATTCACAACAAGAAACACGCGAAATAATTTCATTGCCAGTATATTTCAGTTCAGATCGGGATAAAATAGTTACGCGATTAAATGTTCCATGTGGTAGTGAGAAAGAAAAATGGTTACAATGTGGAGCTGCACTTTTCCTTAAAAATGTTTAAATATAAACTCTATATATTTGTCAATAAGTTTTTGTTTTTTAAATGAATCAATAAACTCAATCTAGAAAAATCCATTATCCTAATCAATCAAATTATATCCGATCTAAACAATAAAAAAAAATCAAAAGATTCAATTAGAGAAACAAGTGAAATCCCGATCACTGATGATATTATCTGTAAGCGATTGAAAAACAGATAATAATTATTAATTGAATAGATTTAAAGGATTGTTGACATCATGTCATGTTATGCTTCTGAACTTGACGTAAATCCTGACTCAAGTAGATTTTATTATTTATGTTTTTCTTTTAGTCGCAATCAATATAAAAAAGAAACATGGAATATACACAATGTGCTAGTGTTTAAACATGATCTGTCAATGTAATGCTGGACAATTAATTGTTTCATCAATTTCATGATATAAACTAGTTCATAGAATGAGGCGGAAGCTTCTATCTTCTATCTATTTTTTTCTCTCCTTCGTACTCCCATGCGATCCTAAGACAAAAACAGAAAGTAGCTAATCAACGTACGGAAATGATAGTTTCTCTTTTTCTCTACTTTTTCTGTCTCTCTCTCTCTCTCTCTTTCTCTCATTACGTTTGACATTGGGAATACGCATATAAAAAAGAGAGAAGCAAACGTTTGACGGCTACTTTTCAAATAATAACAATTTACAACAATCACATAAATTTTATTTTCTCATTAACAAATGGAACTCACTTACAATAAACATCTTGTCTTATTTCTGCTTCTTATCGTAAGTATTAAAAAGAAATATAAATTCATTTTTGTATGGTGAAAATTTTATCCGATATTTCAATCAAATTCAAAATAAAGTCATTTCATTTTCGGTTCATTAGTCTTCTACAGATCATACATTCTCTTTGATTAGATGAACTTTTTTTTATAAGCAAACAAAAAGACACAGCCTAGTAGTTTTATATAGTAAATTAGTTGTGTCATTAATGAATAATAGATCGAATAATAAGGCGGATGCTTTCATTCCACTTCTTTTCTTTTTATTTTGTATGTTAGTTTCCGTTCAAAAATAATAATGTATTGTTTTCTATTATAAAAATTTGTAATTTGTTTGTTTCTAGGTTTTCAGCCAACTACTATTTGTTTGTGCTGACATTTCTACACAAAACGAGAAAACAAATTCTATTGATTTAAATAAACGTTATCGCTTTGATAAAAAGGAAGCATCAAAACCAATTGAAAGCCATGAATCACATGATAGCGATGAAAATAATGATGATCATTTACTATTAATGGATAAACGATATCGTTTTGATAAACGTTATCGATTTGACAAAAGACGTTTGGATACGAATACGATTAACAAACGATATCGTTTTGATAAACGTTACCGATTTGATTAAAGTATAAAAATTAAAACAGCAAAACAAAATCACAGAGACATGCAAAATGACAAACGGTGTTTAATGAAAGATCAAAAATATTGATTTCATTAATTTTTTTTCTGTTCGTAACATCCAGATGAAGCAAATTTTTGCCATTTGAAAATAATATATATATATATACGTATGCATGATTCTCTATTTTTTCCCTTGTATGTCAATCATTTTGAAGAAGAAAATAAAATAAAACACAATGATGCGTTGACTATTTTAACAGTATTAAGTTAAACTTCATCTTCTTTTAGAGTACGTAATGGTTGATGATTATTTTCATACAAGCTTGAAGTTAATAAACTATTTTCTTCGTGATTATTTATCACATGCATCGGTGGTGGTGATGATTGAGAGTTATTTGATACTGATGTAAATTGTAATGGATTATGATGTAAATCAGTTTCAGGAGATATTAGACTACTATGTATTTCGTTTTCACTATAATCATGTTTGATTTCACATGTAGCTAATAATAATAGCCCATCAATGATAGATAAAACAAAAGCAATCCAAGCTATGATAGCTGAATAACCCATGCGAATATTAATACTGGATAGAAATCGATGAAGGGCAGTTTTTGCGTCATCTGATAATTTATAAATTTGATTTGATTTATAATGTTTTTCAATGGCAACTAAATATGCAATTGATTCATATTCAAAATGTTCGAATACAAGTATTAAATTGATCATTAAAAAAATGATTGCTAATAATGATGATAACATACCAAAATATTTAATTTTAAGACGATAATGTAGATTAGTAAAACAGGAAAATAAACTGAATAATAAACAAGTTACACACAGAAATATTATTGCTAGTATTCCAATTATTTGACAAATTAACAAATAAAGCGGATAATGGCAATCACAGGAAACTTTTGCATCGCCGTTTATTGGCGAATGAGATATATCAAAGGTTGCATGAAGATAATGATCATTGATATTAAAACTTTTTTCACTTGCTTTCGTACAAAATTGATAATATGATAAACTATGACATTCATTAAAATGATCATCCTTATATCTTGGTAGAAAATTTTTTGTGCATTTTTTTAGTGATTTATATGTATCCAAATCAGATGAATCAACTTGATTATTGTATAGTGATGAGTTACTTGAACGGTATTCACATCGTTGAAATAAACCATACGAAAGACGACTATAGCGATGTACACTATTGAAATAATGTAAGATTTCAGTACGTATGAGTGCATCAACGCCATCGACATACAACGAATGAGTATTTGAAGTTATTTCTTTCCAATGTGGCGTAGAAAATGCAACACATTGAAGTACAATAGTGATTAACGTTAGACAAACACCAAAAATAATACCGATAGATAATTTTTGATTGCTTACTTCTTTTCTCTTACGGAATATTTTATCTCTTTTTCTATGTTTACTAGTTGCATCAAACATTGAAGTGTTTATTTTCCTTTTGTCAAACATTGAAGTATTGAATTTCTTTTTGTCAAGTATCAGCCTTCTTTATATTGTCGATAATAATTATAATATATAATATACCATACTCATATGTAAAACACTTAAGTCTATAAAGAAAGTAAAATGCATCATTAGTTGAAATTTTAAAAAAGTAGCAAATATGCGTTATTTTGTTTTCTATTGAAGGTAATCTACAAGTTTCTACTAATAGATCTTTATTTCTTACTGCGTGTTGCATTAGGACTGTTGTACAGTTGAGTATTGATTATAAGTGAATGATCGTACCTTAGAAATCAAATACTGATATACATTAATTACAGTTCTCTGTTATATTTGTTCTGAATATGTTAAATACATATACTTTTGTCTGGATAGAACAGCAGTTATATACAGTGGTTATAGTGGCACATAAAATTTTCAACGATACCTAGTTACCTTGTTCTTTTTCTTTTATACAGCTGGCTTATTATTACATTCTTTTTGTATCGATAAAGCGAAAGAAAGAGAAAAAATAAGAGAGTTTTCGTTCTTATGTAAAAGTAATCGCCTGAATAAGAAAGAACGAATCATATTGTCATCACGAAAGAGACAAAATTTACAATCTAACTAGACTTATATGAAAAAAAGAGAGAAATCGACATATAGTTGACAATGACAACGTCCAAGGTTATCTGATGTAGTTTTTTGTTCTTATCTTTTTACAGCAGACATATATAATTTTCGGATTGATTTTTCAGATTAAAATCATTGAAAATTTAAAAGAAAAAAAAATAAAACCATTAATCGTACTTTTTGAGTAGTAATAATCTATAGTATTTTGTCAAGTACGGAATACTTGATTAAGCTTTTCTATTTCAAATCGTTTTAAATTTATGCACTTTCACATTAACCTATCAAGGTGACGTTGAATACATTTATCATTCTTTCTTTAACACATTCATGATGTAATGATATTTGATTATTGCCCTTTTTTGATCGAAAACGAAAGACTATTCGAAGGATTGATACTTTTTATTGAAAAATTATCAATAGAAATTTTATAACAAGATCGACACTGGATCAAAATCAGCTAGTACATATGTATTTCAGAACTAATCAAATATAAATAAGAATCAAATGAGTACAAAGCCGATTCTCGATAGTAGAAACATATGATTCATGAGAACGAAATAGGCAAACTAAAAAAATCTTTTAATTAATTCATCAAAAAAGTAGAGAGCATAAATATCAATATTTAATAGATCTATTAATAATTTATTTGAGCTGAAAGGAAAGCATAAACAAAACATGTTTTGATCTTCCACAAGTACTTCTTATGTCAATACAAAGTGTTTTACACGGAAATATTATTTCTATCGGTAACAATAGATTGGCATACACATTGATAAATGAATCTTTTCATCAGGTTTCATATCTTTATTATATAAAACAAATATCAAATTTTTAATGATCATCCAATAAATATTTAATAAAAATAACGTATAATAATAAATAAACAAACAGACTCGAGCCTAAATATAACACATGAAAAACTCTAATATTTTTAAAGAAATGTGACTATTCTATGCATTTGTTTAAAATTTCATTGGAGAAAGCCTGATCTTCCATTGAATGCATATTCTATTCTATAAAAATACAAGGTCATTCATCATACATCATTTAGAGTCAACCGATAAAAATCTGCTGATTGTTATAGACACTTTTACTTGGCATGAAATAAAATATCTAAAGATAATAATTATATTTATTTTGACGGGCTTCTTTTCTTTTATCTAACTAATACTATATTATAATATATTTCTTAAGATATTAACTTTAAAATAAGTTAACTAATGAATGTATTATTTCTATTTGATAATGTGTGAGATATTGATTGAAGGAATTATGAATCTATTACGAAAATATTTCATGAATCTACAGAATAAAATCATACTAAATAGTGATTGAAATCAAAATAAGAAAAACATGATTATATTACGGATCAAGCGAATGAATTCTTTGATTCGTATAATAGAAAGCAATTCTAGCGTTCTTTCGTTTCTGTAAGATTATTATTCATCGTTCGGTGTGCGCTGTTAGAAGATATGTTTGAATGTATATATAGCGAAAAAGACTATTTTCTCACAACATTTCTTGTATATTTTGCTAAATCACCGATAATCATGCAGCGAATAGTCACTTCACTCGAACAATGTATGCCTAGTTGTACTATAGAAGTATAATATTCATGAAATGATTAAAAAATGAACAGAGATGATTATTTTTTTCTAGCGTTCATTAACAAAAGATCAAATAATATCAACTATTAGTTCATGGCTAACAAAGCATTGTACAAAAATTGCTGTTTTTTCCAGTAAATTCTATTATTGAACAATTTTTTGTCTGTTTATTTCTGTCTTTTTAAATCTAGTTAGTAATAATCTTCTTTATTCATGGCGAGATGCTTATTATAGTAATAATATTCCACATATTGATCATGTCATTCAAGTATTTACTAGTTTATATCGAGAATTCTATTTATTAGATCATTTAACTAATATTCTTGTAAGTAATAATTATTTTCAAATTCAATATGGTCTTATTAATTCACCATAATAGATATCTGAATATCATTCATTATATACATACGATTATGCTATACTTTGGTGTAATACAGATTTGACGAAACGTGAAGTTCGTCTGTCATGGCGTTGTTCGATTGTTAATTGGCTAATTGGTATACAAGTAAAACATTGAAAAAATAATCTCAAAAAAAGTTTTGTTTTTGTTCATTATAAATTTCCTTTTAGCGTAAAAATAATATGAAACCGGAAGTAACTCAACATGCTGTTCGATTAATCGATGCTATTGATACATTAAAAGGACGTAACGAACGAACATATCAATTACGTGCAATGGCTTTTTTTATTCTCTCTGCTAAATTTCACAATCGTAGTCGTATTAGAGTATGAATAGCTATAAAAAGTTTCTCTTGTAAAATAAAATATCTTCAATATATCTATAGATGGAAGAATTCTCACGTTATGCAGCAAATGCATTTGAACCACGTGAAATAGGTGATTGTATGCGTACTGTCAACAATGAACTAAATTTTGAAGTTCAGTTACCTCTCGTGTTTGATTTTCTTGAATTATATCTCGAATTAAATTCGAATGAAACTTTTCAATTAAATACTCCCAAGGTTTGTTTATGGATTGAGAATAAAAAGTGAAGAAAAAAAAGTTTAATTAATTTCAGATTCGTGCATTAGCAATTTTGTTTATTCATGTTGTTTGTATTCAATCATGGTCAAGTTGTTTTAATGCATCGCTAGTGGCTGGTTCTGTTCTTATACTGTGCTTGAAATTTTTACAAGATAAAACATCAATTCCACAATTGTGCTCCATTGTTTGGTTATTTGATCATTCAATTGAGCTTATGCTTGGTCTTGCTGGTTACATTGCATTGATCGTAAGCGATATGCCAAGCATACCACGAGATCGATCAAATTATTATTTTGTAAGTGAGAAATTTTAATAATATTCATTAAAAATTAAATTAATATTCATTATAATTAGTATGCGCATAAAATGTACAATGATGAATGCCGTCATAAGATTGATGATGATTTTAAATTTGATCATGTTAAAACATTTTGTCGAATATTTGTTCAAACATCTGATATTAATCGGCAAATATCATGTGGAATGCGAAGTCTTGTTTTTAATCAATTATGTATATTAGAAAACGCTTATCCATCGTTGTTGTGTATGAATATGAATCAAAATAGGTCGGATGATATCAAAGATAAATGTCGATCAATGCAGTTTACAATTCGAGTTGTATTAGCAGCAAAGCGTTTTGCAAAACATATTTTAGAGAAACGCAAAACAATGCAACAATTAAAAGCAACATCATTGATTGAGTGATTGGCGTGCTGGGAAGCATATTTTTAATGTTGTTTTTTATTTCATATTTTAAATATATTTATTTTTCAGTGATTTAATCGTAGGGTTTCATTTACGAAAAATCAACACAATAAAAAAGACTGAAACATGTTTTTGCAAGAAAAAGTATTGCTCTTTTTTTGATGTGACTCCGTTCCTCAACTTACATCTGAAAATTGTTGATAAATATTATATTAGATGTTTAAAAGATGACAATCTAGTTGACTATAGTTACTTTCAGTCATTTTAATTAAAGTTATCATGAAAATATCCAGTTTTTCATAGCAACTCTGTGACAATCAGGAAATAGAAAAACTCTTTAAAGTTTTGATGAATTGATTTGAAATTTTCGAAGGATAACTTTCATAGTAATCTGCGTTCACATTTTCTTAGTGAATATTTGTAAATGAGAATTAGTTGCTCGGAATAAAAAAAAAATACATCATATTTTTCTGTGCTTGAAATGTTGTGTATAAAAGTTTATTATAGTTGTACATCAACTACTTTCTACTGATATTGAAGACTATCAAGGTTAGAACAATATATATTAGACTTTAATGATGTGAAAGTTTACTATTATACAATTAATCGATTTCATACAATTAGTTTAATAATAAGTCACTCTACATATCAAAACAATATTGAATAATTATTTGCTATTGTCGTTTATCATAAATAAATTTGTATCTCGTCTTTTCCTATAATATATGTTCTGCACGGAGCCTAGAGATTAGAATGGGATTTTTATATCAATTTAGATAGAATATAGAATGCACTTTTTGTCGATATCTATGTTATCCAATAGTATTGAACCAGATTCCATCAGAGTTGATATAGAATACGAGAAAATTTACGGAATGAATTAGCCGATTATATTATTACTGTGAAATCAAGCGTTGACGCCAATGTAGCAGATAGATGTAGGTCAATCGGAAAATGAAAGGAAATAGAAAACAAGAATTCAGTGAGCACATTATTCCACTTCCGATCGGAACCAACAGTAAACAAATAGAGGCAGAAATCGGGTTTTTGTTTGTTGAATTTCTGTAAATTTCCGGAGTTTTCTACCTGGAAATGCAAGGAAATACAATCGTTTGAAAAAAATACTTGGAATAATCTCACAACATAAAGATTTTATGTTTTCTAGATTCTCTTGAGCCTTTGTTTTGCGATTATTGTAGATTTACACTAAGTAGATTATCTACGAAAAATATTCATTTATTTGATTGGTTTCTATTTTATAGTTCGATAATAATAACCGGATATAGTCAAGACAATCAGTCTAAAATCACATCAAGTTTTCTGATTACATTATTGTAATATCAGATTTTGTTCTAATAAGAAAATCTACCGATATACAAAGATAACATTGCGTACAATTATATACCAAATTAAAAATCTCAGAACTCAAGGTTTTCGGGAATATTGAGCAACTAATGGTCGAAAAAAGTGTAATTGATACCAAATACAGCTAAAGAGTAGGTCCATTTATTCGAGAAAATAACGAAATACTTTAAAACAATTGACTGAAAATTGACACGAACAGTGTAAATTAACGGTTTTCACGAGCTCAATCTCGCGCCATTTGAATCGTCTTAAAGATGAGCATTGAAAAACTTTTTAATCAAAATTGACTAACAGAAAAAAGATAGATGTTCCTTGATTATTGAAAAGAAAGCAGAATGAATCAAATATTGGATCAGATATTCTGAGACTGTCAACTGATATGTATTAAATATAGAAACAGTTTTTCGAAAGCAGTTAAAAAAGGCGTTAATATACACTAAGGATTTGTTCCAAGTTTTTTTTGCAAACCATTGTAGATCATGAAGTCATTTATCAAGCGTCGTGGTCATCAACCGTCAGATATACATGTCATTGAATTAAACAGACGACGAATGACTTATGAAGATCGATTATATTTTGATTGTTAAAGTCTAAATCACAACCAAAAAGAAAAAATATTCTACCGATATCAACCATGTCGTCTTGAGCGATGTTGGATTTTATGAACAGCGCTGATATTTAATCTATCATTTTTTAATGCAAAAAAAGTCTACTAAAATTGCTTCATTCGTTCTAAGTACAGTTTTGAACTTTTCAATATTATACCGTATTCTCTCTTTCCTGGCTAAGTCTCGGCTAGTTTTTCAATAATATTGCTGTGATTAATTTAATCGATAGAGATATTTAAAAGCAGCTGAAATAATGAAAAGAATTTTCTGTTTGGAATTTCAATCATCGAAAAAATATTTTTATATACATCACTAAAAATTTGTATCTAATTTTTATGTCACTATATAAAATTCTGAATAAACTAGTTGCATTGTTTACTACTCGAATTCCTAAAATTGCGTATGCAGTAAATAATTTTTCATGCGATTAAAAATCTAGTTAAATAATGCTGTTGTCAATATTAATCTGAATATTTTCACATTTTATTTTATCAGTTACAACTACTTGAAAACTTTCGTTTTGTTGGGAAACTTTCTTTGTCACCGTATTTGCTGTTCGCTTAAGCAGTAGGTGAAAATTTCTACTGATTCTCTATTGTATATTTATTACATTATCAAAATGATTTGTTCAAAACTGACTCACCTTCCTAGTGTAATTTTCTCCTTTATGTTTAAGCATCAGTGAAGAAATTTAAAGGCAACGATAGGAAGGAAACATATTTTTAATTGAAAATGAAAACTTGTAAAAAATGACGGATATAATTTTAATTTACACAAATAGTTAGTATGATATGAGGCTAGTTTATGAAATAATAACATACGAGAATATTCTATCAATGTTTGTATCAGGCTAAATAATATCAAACACGTTTCAGACAATATTTTTCTTTTAAACAAAAAATACTAGATTCGTATCTTGATTACATTTAATTAGGTCGGAGACTTATTGTCATTCTAACTAGAAATTTTTTGTTAGACTAAACTGATATTAATCAATAAAAATCTCTTGTTATGACAAAGTTTGTTGTGTTACATATCACACCTAAGTAAACATAAATCATAATTATTCATATTTTTTCTTTCAGCTTTCTTCGGTTCGACGTTGACGACCTGTCTATGTAACATTCACTTGATACCATATATAGAGCAAGAACAAAATGAAAACATAATTCATGGTCTATTACTAGTATGAGATCCAGGACATCAATGGTTCTGCCTTCTCTTTTGTCATCATTGACAAGAACAACAAATATGCATAGACTTTTATCACTCGTATTGCTTATCATGATAGCAACCATTTGCTTCTTCGTAGTAGATCTCATTCACTCATCAACTTGTCAGTCAATATAAATCAGATAAGTTTTCTTTTATTGGATATCAGGTAATAAGGGTTTCTTTAGTAAAAATCTTATACTTTAAGCTTTTTCTCTATAGATTACGTTCCCTTCGGTAACCTTTAGCTTACATTGCTAATTGGTAAACTACGACGGATTACTGTGGTAGTTTTGTTTTTATAATTGGTTCTTGCAGAGACAACCATTGACAAAAAAAACAAAGATTAATCAACTGACTTATTCGTTTGGTTTTTTTATCAACTAATTTAATAAAATTTGCAATATAACTGTGACATATTCCGATGACTTATTTGCCATCGAAACCATAATAAAATGAAATCTTACCAAGAAAAATAATGTTTCTCTCTTCTTTTTTTGAGAAAAGAATCAATTAACATAACTAAATAAGAAAATATGAGAAAGTCGCATCCATACATATAAACACATCGAGATGAAAGATAGCCATTTATTGTCATTTTCCTTTCTCTCTACTATCATATTATGCATATAAAACCACTCTTCATGTTCTTTATCCTTCTATAATTAGCAATTTCAAATGAAATACTAGGGAAAAAAGAAAACAAGTAGGTTAAAAATGTACATCTATTCCTTGATTTATTAAATCAGTTAAGAGTAGAAATATCAGTTTGACGGTGTCTTTCATGAAATCGAGCACACGAACTTTCACATCAATGAAGATCTTTTTTCAGAAAATATATTTTATATTAAAACTTAAAATTTCATCGGAGATTTTATTATTCGACACACATATTTGAAAATAATTGCTTTATTTGATTGTTACGTTTTCATGCTGATAAACAATCGATATTCGATTTTTCGTTTTTAAGAATTTGATTCATAATTAGTTAATTAGGTTTTTCTACAGGTTTTACACTTTTGAAAAATGTCACACAGAAACAGGATCACCATAGAATGAATGTATAGACAAATAATGAATATAATACATATGTATTCATGCATAAAGTGAATCAATATTTATCTTTAACGAAATATAATTTGTTTCAAAAGGTGCGTTTCTAGATGACTCATCTTGTTTAGCGTTAACTTCTTGATGAAACATAAACATTTTTTTTTTTAATTTAAAATTATGAGCATGATTGTTTCAAGCCTTATGAATATGGTATTTATATAATTAGTTGAGTCGTCACATATTAAACAAGCACAAACATGAAATTTAACTCTCTATCTTATTAATATTTTTCTTATGTGTTAGATTAAGTAGTTCTTATAATAACCTTTGGTTTCAGCTTTTATCAAACTAATGTCATGTACAAATAGAAGCACTCGTTGCTCTATAAATATTTTTTGTTTTATTTCTTTTTATCTATTAATTTATTTCCCAATATAGCTAGTTTTCTCTTAGGATGTTGCATACTTTCGATTCATTATCATCCAGTCTCCATCTTGCTCGAGATAGATCAATATCATTAAAAATTCATTTTCATTAATTTCCCTCAAAGTTACAGATAGATATAACAGATTTCGTACGTGATCCTGTATAAACATTCAGAATAGAATGCAGCTAACAGCCTGATCTTCTTGAGTTTTGTTTGAACCATACACTAATTTCTATTCGGCGTATCCGTGTAAATTCCTCAATTTCCTACTATTCAGTTTTACCAATGCTTTCATTTTCTCTGCGTTTCACAGAATACTTGTCAATTGTATAATAAAACGTTCATTCGATGAAATTAATAGCCATATGAACACACGTTTCCACAACACACAGTAGTTTTTTTGTCAATGATTTCAGATTATTATACAATTTCCTAAACATAAATCACAGGAATTTATTATTCCAGAACATGCTTGAAAGATCCAAGACTATAGTTTCACATAATTAGCATTATTTGTTTGTAAAATTCTGTTCGAGATGAATGACCATGCAACAAACAATACTTCAGTATTGAGCTTATTACTTATGAATGAATAATTTCAACAGCGTCTAGAAGCTTGTTTATGATTCTTTTTAACATTGGTTCGTTTCTTTTCTTTGCTCAAAACTAACCTAATTCATACTCAAAAAGTTAGAAATCATCGATTTCAAAAGTTTTATACGTTTTTATAGAAGCTAAACTTAAAATATTCTTCACGATAATTTTATAATTTAAACTTCCTAGTGAATTTATATGTACAGAATACATTTCTTTTTCTGTTTAATGATTAGTACATGATGCGAATTACTCAGATAGTTTTAACTATTCTGTTATAAGAACCATACCATAATTGACTATTATTTTCAGAGTAATGCTCTTCGATTCGTCCTGTATTCTAGGGGCTTTGTCTCAGATACTTTGATGCCGCTTTGCTGCATCACTGATTATCTAAATAAGCAGATGAGATGCATTGAAGGATGATTAATTTGCTATTTCTTATCATTGGAAAAAAGCACAGTTGACATTTATCATGTGAAGTTTTGGCATTTACTTGTTTTTTTCTTCTATATTAGTCAAATATAGAACAATGAAACTTTTGATTGTAACTTAAGTATTCTACGAGTAAAGTAACAAATGAACTCACACTTGAAATAATTGATTTTTATTTTAGATTGCGAATAATTGTTAAAACACAATATTAGAAAATAAATAAATTCGATAAACTGACAAAGAAATCTATCCTTTTACTTAATTTAATATTCACTTTTATCTACTATCTACGCAGAATGTACATTGAGTATATTCAAATCAGCTTTTTTAATCGTTCAATAACATAATAAATAGTCTTGATTGATAGAGTATTTGTTTTTAATACAAGTATATCTTGTGTGTGTGTGATGATTAAGTTATATAACAAGTAATTAAATTTGATTTCCATTTATAAATAATAAAAGACAAAAATAAATTTATTGTTGTTATATTTTTTTTCCAGATAATTACCAATGCCGAAGAAGTTTAACATTCGTGAATGGGTTCTATCCGTTAAGTATTTATCCTATAATATGTAAAATATTTTGCGTTTATCAAATTTATTTATTTAGATATTGGTTACTGCTTTTCATTCCTCATATATCGATCTGTTTAATGTTCTTCATCTATGTTCTAATCGGTGCGAGTATTATTCAAGAAATTGAAACGTATCACAAAGATATTTCTTCTTCTTCTTCAACTAAAACCTTTCCACGAGAACGTCTCATATCAAATATAATTGAGAAGAGACAAATATTTGATATTGAACAATTTACTAAATATGTTTATAAACATATTTGTCAATACGAAGAAGAAATAATCAAAAGAAAGCAACAGAATTTCAAAGGAAATTTATCATGGAATTTCTCGAGATCATTATTTTTTATTATAACAACTTTAACAACTATCAGTAAGAAGCTCAATAAAAATGATTTCTTTCTGAATTGTGAATATTTTTTATAAATTTATTTTCGAAGGTTCAAATGATTTTATCCCAAAAACAAACATAGGAAAAATATTCCTAATGCTCTATACTGGATTTGGCATTCCACTAACATTGGTTCTCTTAATTGATTTAAGTTATTTAATAAAACGATTGGTAAAAGCTATTTCATTGATTATCTTATATTTTTATTCATCGAAGAGTTTTTATTATATTCGTCGATTGAAGCTTTTTCGTTTTATTGACAAACAATTAAATATTTTTATTGAAGATGATGAACAAAACGAAGATTTATATGTAACAACAAATTCTTCAAGTGCGCAACAATATTGTTGTAATTTTTTAAATATATTTAAAAAATCAAAACACAATAAAGATTTAACTTTAGTACAATTAATGATAACACTTTTTATCTATATTGTTATTGGTACTTATTTTATGCCATCAAAATCGTTTATTGATAGTTTTTATTTATGTTTTACAACAATATTTACAATAAGTTTAAATAAACTAGCATATCAAGACAATAATTTATTTTTTATAACTATTTATTTAATTTTTGGTCTTGCCATCATGTTAATGTTTATACAAACTATAAGAATAAGACTCGAGATGTTACTAATCAATATTGCAAAGTTATTAGTTAGACATCTTTTAGATTTCAGCCGACAGATAGGTAAATATATTTGAAATCAGATTTCGATAAAACTTTGTCAAAATTTTATTAAAATAGGTGCTCATGATTTACGTACTGATGATTTTTTAGTCGATAATGATATTAATTCTTATGCTAACTCAGAATCTATATTTTCTCGACATCCCTATGTACCAAATTCAACACTCTCCGAACAGCTATCGTCTGTTCGTCCAATTTGCGTAGCAGAACCATTACGTCGTCTTTCTACTGGTCTCATTCGAGTATTGAAGAACAATGAAGGTAACGACGATAAAAAATTGCATAAAGGTACTCAAGTAACGACCATTATTCGACGTTGCAATCGTTGTGCTGAATCACCTTTGCCAGTTTTACCAATTAGAAAGCATAGTCTTGCGTCAAATTCATCATATTCGGCCACTGATAACAGTTCAAGTTGTGAAGAAGATGATGATGCCATGGAACTTCCTTTACCAAATTTAGATCGAATTCGTAGACGACGTGCAACGCTTGTAGCGAAAACGATTATTAATCAAATGGCTACGCAACCACGATCATCAATTGATGAATTTATTCCACCATATACATTACTATCAAAGCAACGACATCGTTCAGCAGGTACACCATCGACTCCAGTACGATGCGCTGTGAAAATATCACTATCGCCGTCACTTGAATCTTCACGTAAATTTGATTATAATCAAAGCAAATTTTCGGAAATTTCCCAACAGATTTCTTCGTTAGTAACATCACATGAAGATTTAAATTAAATATAAATGATTATTGTAATACTATATATTACGAATAAGAATATTAGTTTTTATTTCGTAATGTAGCGAAACAACGATGTTTTCGTTTTATTTCGATATAAAGATATTTTTTGTAATGCTCTTATGACCTGTACCTTTTTTAATTTGCCTATTAAAAAATATACATCTATTAGAAACTTCATATCAGGATTACTTTGAAAATATTGCGACATAAAATAAAAATGTTCATTTTCTTAGTTCTACCTAGATTTGCGAATACTTTGTCTTTATTAGATAATTCACTAGCTAATATGAAATCGTGCAAATATCACAGCTACAGATTCTTGCAATCAGGTATTTTGGTTGATTGATCTAGGGAAAGTTATTTCAACATTTATTTCTGCCAAGCCTGAAAAATGATATGATGCGTCAATTTTTATGTTTACTGACAGTTTCGGGTCGTCTTTTGTGCATGTAAGCCTTTAAAATGAGTATTTTTATGACATTCTTGATGATCGGAACTCAATAAAGCGTCTGCAGTCTGTCGCGTATATCTTTAATCATAGAATATTACGATTAAAGTTATTCAAAAAATATTCTATACCATGCTACTACTGAAATTTTCTATCGTTTGTTTTATTCAAATTATCAATTATACTTTTAGTACTCAATGATTCTTCACTGAGCAAGTTATCTAGTAACAATTACACAATATTTATGTCTATATAAACGACTTCGTATACGTATTTGATCCAGTATAAAAGTTGATTTTACGCTTTTTTATTCTTTACACAAATATTCACTCTCTTCCTATATCAGCGACGAGAATAAATTATAATTGGTCTTTTTGTATCATTAATATTTATCAGGTGTACGAAATGGAAAAAAAATACTTAAATGAAAACGTTTCTTTTTATAATTCTTCTATCAGATGATGAAAACAATGATTAATATACTATACGATGAAGTACAAATAATAACAAAAATCTAACATAAATATATTGGAATTCCTAATATTTGGTTCAGAATTAGAAGATAACTATAGTAGTATCGGAATAAGTTAAATTCTATTGTTTGCTTTACTTCAATATTAAACTTAACCAAAAAGTTTTCAAAAAAATCCATTCTTAGTCGGATTTTTTTCTATAATTTCAAAATTAGTACTTTGGAACCAAAAACGAAGAGACTATATCACAATGATTAGCTGTTTGTTCTTAATTGATATAATGAAACAATTGATTTAATAAGACTATATTCGACTGATGCTTTTTTTTCTGATAAATCTTTGTGTACTTATTAATCGGCAAAATATTCTTTGTTTATTTTGATACAGCGAAATATGTTGGCCTCTATTAAGACAAGTAACACCTTGATTTTACACACAATTATCTTACATATCAATTGATAGGGTTCATTCACTTTTAAATGATGCACTTGAGTGAATGCTTTGAAAATCACTACTGACAGGGTTTAGACAAAAATGAAGATCATTGTTATAGAAATTTTTATGAAGTTCAGATTTTTTTCAACATGAATAAGTGTTTAGTCACGCTAATAACTTGAGTCTCGACTGTCGTACAATAGTTTGTATAGGATATCCTACATATGTGGAATAACTAAATGAAGAAAATATAATTACATGTGATGAGAATATATTTGATAGAAATTGGTCATTGATAGACGTGGAACGTTTTTAATTGCATTTTATAAAGTGATTTTAGCTAGGCATCTGCATCTCTTTTACGATTCGTATTACAATATCACGGTATGATTTGATTACTGTTTAGCGTAAGATATCAGAAGTAATCAATTTTGTTTTCCGCTACAAATCTGTGTCGGGTATGAAATTAAAAAAATAACCATGGTACTTTTCTATTTCGTAAAAGTATATACATAGATAGATTTGTTTCAGGCATAGATGACACTAGTCTACAAATAGCATACAAAATTCATAAAACAAGTTTTTTAATCTAAAACGTGAATTTTAAAATTATCTCAAAGGAAATATCCTCAATTATTAATAATATATAGTCTCATTGAACTTAATGACGAAATACAACACTTTCAAGAAATTAGCCAATAGAGACAAGGAAAAAATTTCGTAAAACATGGCCATTTATCTTCATGTAATACAAGAAAGATGCTAATTTTCTCTGATCGAAAAGAAGGATTGAATGACTTTAAGTCAATATTGACACTATCTAATACTTGAAAATTTTACTTTTAATTTAGATAAGAAAAATATATTGCAAAAATGGTTTTCATGAAGCCTGAAAGTGCTCTTCGACGAGCTGATGGTAAATTTATTTTGTTCATAATTTAAATATTGATATATATCTAATCTTAATTTGTTACCTGAAATTTAGAATTAATTGATGTCGGCAAAAAACAACGTGCTTTGGAAACACTTTTTGAAGTTATTACTTCACGTCGTCATCGAACATGGACAAAAGCACACGAACCTTTAATGGAAAAGTTTTTAGATCTATGTGTTGAATTAAAAAAAAGTCAACTGGCTAAAGATGGTCTTCATCAATATAAAACAATTTCACAAACGGTTAGAATATAAGTTGTATTGAATTAATGAAAAAAATAAAAAAAAGTATTTGAATTATCATTAGGTGTCATTGAAATCACTTGAAGATGTGATCATGAAATTTCTCAAACAAGGCGAAGAACGATGCTTGAATGCTCGAAAAGAAGCAACAAATGCTCTTGTGGATATTGATGATTTGGAAGTTTTACAAACACCTGAAAGGTATAGCAAAAATCAATCGAACATATAAGACTTTGTAGAACGCAGACATTCTACATAACATTTGTATCTGAAACTAATTCTTGTGAATACCACTCATGCCTCCGTGGCAGATAACATATACAGAACATATAGATGTTCTCTTTTGCTTCATACAAGAAATAAGTGATTACGTTAAAATACGAAGGTATTATATTAACATAAATCAAAAATATCTGCAAATAATTAATATATATTGCTATTCTATGTTTTTTGAGAAATAATAAAAAGAAATTTAGATCTCCAGAACACTATTTTTAAAGTTAAAACATGAACTATACTTTCAATTGAACCGATAGAAAGAAATTTTATTGACATGTCATGTTGTTTAATGAAGTATTACATGAAGAGAACTTTCGAGTGGTCTAGTCAATATGATCGAACAGTTTTATTTCGTTCATCGAAGCATAATTCATTGATCTCTCTGGAGATCAGAGTTCGGCCTAAAGAGAAGTTTTTTTCCCTATACATTCTAAGTAGCACAATTCAGTAAATACTTGTCGATGGAATGATCTATTTTTTACTTCCTTGGTAGAAAATCATTACATATTGACCGTAATGAAATCGACTAGATCAAAGAGAACATTCTCTCTTCAAAACTGGTCAAAATATTGAGGATATGGGTGAAGGTAGGATACCTCGCATCCCATTCTAGAATTTTGTTAGAGTACTATTTAGTATCTATAGGCAAAAAAGAATTACAGATGTCAGAAATCTTTATTTGTATAGGTTTCCGCATGAATTAATCAAATAGTATTTGTATTGGCATATAATTTATTAATTAGGAATATTAAGTTTACTCGATAATAATTCTATCATTTTCATTTTAGTCTATTACTCAGTGCAGTTAGTGGTGAATCTCAACAAGATCGTACTGATCGCGATATGCTTGCACCGTGGTTAAAATTTGTCTGGGAATCATATAAACAATGTTTAGATTTATTGAAAAATAATAGTCGTGTTGAAAAAATTTATCAAGAAGTTGCACAAATGGGTTTTCGCTTTTGTCAACTATATAATCGTCGGCCTGAATTTCGAAAATTATGCGATACGATTCGAACCCATTTTACACAATCGCAAAAATATTCACAACAACCGTATAGTGTGAATTTTCAATTGCCAGAAACACAAGCAGTTCATTTAGAAACACGTTTAGTTCAACTTGATACAGCTATTGCTATGGAATTATGGCAGGTAGTTCATGCAAAGAATTATTGATGAATAGTAGAGAATGTTTGCTTTTTGTTTTTTACTTTAGGAAGCTTTTAAAGCAGTTGAAGATATTCATGCGTTTACAACAATTTCAAAAAAAACACCAAGACCACAACAATTGGCATCTTATTATAATAAAGTAGCACTTGTTTTTTGGAAAGCAGGAAATTATGTATTTCATGCAACAACTGTTCTTAAATTATATGTGCTACATAAAGAACAAAAAAAGAATATAACACACGCTGAATTAAGTCGTTTGTCAACAAAGGCTTGTAAGTTATTTTCTATTTAAAAATAAAAATTGTTCTTTGAACAATTCTCTATTTAGTATTATCTATACTTTCAATTCCATTACCAACACCACGAACACAAATCGACGAACATTTAGAAACGGATGAAACAATTAATGAAAAACAAAAACGTTTAACAAGTTTATTACAACTACAACAAATTCCAACACGTGCAAGTCTTATACGTGATATGATCAAACAAGGTGTTTTAAATTTTGTCTATCCAGAATTGAAGAGTATGTATGAATGGTTAGAGGTTGAATTCAATCCATTAAAGTTATCATCAAAAATGGAAGAAAGCATTCAGTTCGTTGAAAAACTTGCTCAACCTGAATACTCACAATATATGTCAGCATTACGTGATGTTACTGTTGTTCGTTTACTTCAACAGATTTCACAAGTTTATCAAACCATTGAATTAAAACGTTTTGTTGATCTTGCACCACCTATGGATAAACATCGTTTAGAGAAAATTATTGTTAATGCAGCAAGAAATAATGATGTTCAAGTTCGAATTGAACATAAATCAAACGCATTAACATTTGGCACAGATTTAAATCTTTCAAGTGGACAACTCGGTGCTAATGACACTGGTTTGAAGACAAATGTTATTCAAAAGATGCCAAATGAACAAATACGTAATCAACTTACATCAATATCACGCGCATTGTATGCATCCATGGAAATTATTAATGATAAATCGAACAGGGAACGTAATGATAAATTACGACGAGAAATCGCTCAAACTTATTATCGAGATGAATTAATACAACGTAAAGAAATATTAAAACGACGAGAACTTATTGAACGTTACAAGGAAGAAAAAGAAAAAGAATCGATTTCGAAGGTAAGATAAAACATTGAAATGCTATTAATTACTCTAGTGACTTCTGTATTTGTCCTATTAATAATTAGCCGCATACCCCAATCACTTAAATAGTTATGAGCGTCTTTCTTTGGATTCTTGATGAGATATAAATGTTTGTTTTAGTTCTTATGCGATGAAAATTATTTCTTGTAATTGAAACATACTCATGATCAAACAGCTACTAATCTGAAAGTAGCAATATTAGTAATCATGGTACAACTCTTATAGACTCATAGGCAAAATATTTTGGAAGATACGTGGAAGCAGTATCTTGTGTCGTATGAGCGACTTTCGAGGCAGATAAAAAAAACTTTGATTGAAAATATTATACATACAGTTAAAATCCAAATTCAACTTTAGCAGTATTTTATCTCATGAGTTATTGATGATCATCCAATATAAATAGAATTTCTTGTTAGTATGTTAGAAATGAAATGTTCAATCTTGAAAATTTTATTCTAGCGTTTTCTCGGTGGTTTTATTTAGATTTTTTCAAGAACACTCTTGATGCTGAGCTAAAACTTCTCGTGCGATATAGAATTTGGCTCTAATAGAATTGGCCGAAAGAAAAAACGTCGAAAGTAAAAAATATCGAAAGCGCTATAAATCGAGTTTAAGCACACGCTGCCCATTTAAAAGTACAACGATGAATGCTTCTACAGATTGTTCATATAGGATTGTTGAAAAACTGGGTTTATACTGTATCTATAGCATTTTCGACATTTTTTCTTTCGGCCAATTTTATTACAGCCGAGAATTTACCTTATCAATAGATCGATCTTCATTACCTCGATAGATTCTAATGTCTTCTATAGTGAATATCCGTCAGGCTCATATAAATTTATGATGGGTAAAATTTTTACGAAAAATAGCCATTAGATAATTATTGTCAAAAAAGTTTCTCAGTTAGCCTAGTGCTGATTTATTTCATATATTTTTCACTCGTCATATACTTACAAACGACATAAGTAGTATATCGAAAATCGTTCTACCAAACTTTATTTTCACGTCTCAAATCTTTCTAGCGTTTTTACGTTACTGAAAAAGTAAGAATCTCTACAAATACATCTATTAAATCCTCTATGTTGACTTTCAAAAAATTTAGTGTTTCTATTTTTTTATAAAATCAGATGAAACAAGCTGAAATAGTTTCTCGACATCAACAAGATGAACGTGAAAAAGAAGATAAGAACCGCCGTGATGCTGATCAAAAACGTCGCGTTGCTGAAGCTGCATTGGAACGTGAAAAAGAAGAGCATCGTTTTAATATGAAAATTGCTATTGATAAATTACGTGAATCTGAAATAGGTCGTAAAATAATTGAACTTATTGGCGAAGAAGAATTATATAAATATGATCCAGAGTCATTAAATTCTTTACATATTGATGCTGTCATCAAATATAGTCGAGAGCAAAAAGAAAAGTTAAAAGTTCAATATAAAAAAGTTGACTTTCTTATTCGTGCACATCATGAAGCAGATATTCCGTTAATAATAAAACAAAGCGAAGAAGAGTTACAACAACGTCATACAATTCAAATTGCTGAACGTGAACGTGCTATTGAACGATGTGAACGTCTTGTGCGTATGGAAAATGATAAAGAAGATTTTCTTCTATCAATTCGTGGACAACGACATGAAGATTTTGTCGTACACATGAAAACATTTGAACAACGTTTAAACGTAGCACGTCAACAACGTTTAGAACAATTACGTCAAGAATATATTGAGAAGAGAAAGCAAGAATGGAAAAAACAAAAACAATTACAAAAACAACAAAAAGAAGAAGAAAAACAAAGAAAAATTCAAGCAGAAAAAAAACGTAAACACGATGAACAAATAGCGCTATCACGTGCAGCTAATGATGAAAAAAATAAGAAATTAGACGAACAAGCTAGAAAACAACGTGAACGTGAAGCAGAAATAGACAGAAAATTACAAGAATCACTAGAAACTTCGCGAGTTGCACCAACTGCTTCAGTTCGTCGTACTCTTCCTCCTAATCAAGCCGATAAAGATAAAACTGACAAGTTAGTTGACCAAAAACAAATTGTAATTTAAAATATTTGAACATGATTCTTTTTTAGTCGACTATGGCGCCGTCCACAACGGGACAATGAGAATAGTCAACAATCACATGCTGATGTTAAGGACTGGCGTAATAGTAAAAATGAAGATCAACGGTAAGATTCAAATAATAGAATCTTTCTCTTAAAATGATTGTATCATTGATTGCAGTCCACGAGGTACCAATGATCGACGTTTTGATGAACCATCGATGAACAAAGGATCATCAAGTGATTCATGGAAACCCAAATCAAGACCTGACCAGCAAAATCGTGATGATAGACGAGGACCTCCATCATCACAACAACAAGCATCACCATCATCAGCAGAACGACGGCCCGAAAGAAATTCGGAAACAGTAGGCAAATGGCAAACTATCGAAAAGAAACGTCCCAATCCGTAAGATTTATAAAAAGTTTCTACCGATTCTTTTGCTAAAAACTATCTAAATTTAATATATTTGGATACAAAATGACTTTCGAACATCGTAATAAGCAATTCTTCTCACGTATTCTATCTAGCAAAGATTTTATAATAATTAAATTTCATTATATTGGTGCAGAACGAAATAAAGACATGTAGAATGGGATATATATACAGACTTCAGCGTTGCTCTCTTTTAAAATCAGCTATTTACTTTCTCCAAGAAAACCATTTCCCTATAGTATTAAGAGTTTATTTATTTATTTATTCTGTAAATAGAGCACGAACTGATAATGATCGTCCATCAAATCAACGTTCAGGTGAATCATCGTCAAGCACATTTTGGAAATCAAAAACACACCCGACAGATGAAACACGAGATAGTCCTCGTAGTGGTCCAAATACATCGGATCAATGGCGACGACCAGACGACAGTAACAATTGGCGTACACGAGAAAAACAACGTTTAAACAGGTTTACTTTTTTTGCTGATCATTGATTGTTTTTATTATTCTAAAATGATTAATTTTAGTTGGCGTGCCAATGGTAGTGATGATGAAAATGAACCAGCTTCATCTGATAATCGTCCCACGGGTGGCAGTCGAGAATAACTAGCCTAGTGAAAAGAAAAGTGATCCCATATGCTTATCTAACTTTTCTTTTTTTTAAGTTCTTACTGCGTACCATCTTTCGTGTGTTTGTCATATGATATTCACTCAGTTAACGTTTTTTGTTGAAGAAATAAGAAAAAAAACTAAAATAAAATTTCAAGCTTTCTTTCTTCGAAAGTCTTGTTCGTGCTTATTTATTCGTAGAAGACATTTGATATATACAAATGTTTTAATTTAGAATAATAACATACGTAAGTTAGATAATTTGCTTAAAGAAAAAGATCTTTTGCCTATGACAGATTTATAAATTAATCGATTACTATTAACTTTTATCAGCGTTTGAAATCGACTTCAAACTCTATTTAATTTATGTCATATAAATGAATATCAATCAGATATAAATAAAAAGGCTCAGGTATCTGTAAGATTTCTATCAACTTTAAGTGGTAACGTTCAACATGAATTAAAAGTAAATAATAATAATCTGAAACTAGCATCAAATCGTTCTTTATGTAAAAATGGTTGGACATTGAGCAAAATTCAGTAATTGGATAAGGAAGAACTATGTTTGATATATTTAGAAGTTCTGGCTGTACTACGTTTACCAACATTAACTTTGTGTTTTAACAAAGTTAGTGAATAAAAGTTTATTAAACAAAAACCAGATTTTAGAATCGCTAGTCAATGACATTCGAATATAATGACGAAGTTTATTGATGAAGTGAGTAAATCATTATTGTTTTCCAAGAACGAAGGAAAACATCCAAGATTTCTTACCTGCTTTTGATTCGGTCTCCGTCTACAAATCGAATATATTTAATGAATGAAAAAGTCTAAAATATTCATCGCAAATGAGTTTTTTTTGCTAAGAGTATAGGTACAAACATCGTACATCAAGTTATAATCTGAAGCTCTTCAATGTTCATTGATATAAAAAAAAAATCGAGGTTATTAAAACGAATGAGAGCCATACTATTTTAATTGGACTTTTCTATCAGCGTATGATTGTCCAAACAAATAGATGAATGTTATAAAATGTGAATAGATTACTGATGATGAATTTACGTTAATACAACTATGAACTTGATCCTTTTGCCAATTTATTTTCGTAGAAATTTTTCCACTCTGAAAAATTCAGACAAAACTTTAATCTTGATTTCTGATATTCTTCAAATAGATGGCCTGCAGATGTTATGTTTTAGAAATAAGAATTGCCAGTTGTTTCAAAAGTTCACTTCTCCTGTTTATAGTGAAAAATTGAAAATTTATTTGAGCAAGATTCTAATGGTATGATCAGTACTTAGAATAATGGACTAATTGAAGTTCTGCAACATTTTATTACAAAATTTGAATAGAATAGATAATTAACTAATTAAAACCGACTCTGAATCATGATCGAATATCTAAGTGTTACTATGAATTCTGATATTAGAGTAATCAGTGTTTTATTAGACCCTCGTTCAGTAAATCCCTGTGTACTATTGGAATTCATAATGGGCATGGTCAAATGTACTGCAGCCAATATTGAAAAGTAAATAAAACTTATATTTTCTGAAACTTCCATCACATGTTGTTGCTGTAGGCGTATAAGGAATATTTGCATACTTCGCTCTATGCTCAAATTCAATCCTCATTTCATCGGTTTAACTTGTTCGTCACCATATGATATCATTGGTGAAGGTTTCAATGGAATTGTTACTCTTTGTATCGTAGAAATATTTAAAATCAATATAATATTCTATTTTTGACAAATGTAATCGGATAAATGACTCCATTTTTAAATGATTAGTTCGAATGGAAAAGAACTATATTACTTGTAAATTCTTATGAAGCATTAGCTGAAGTTTCGAATAAAAATTTCTATCATATTAATTGTACTGCTTGTAATTCAATAAATTTTGCTTCGTCCTTACGAAAGTAAAAAGTAATATATCCTTGACTAAACTGTTTTAATAATTGCACTTCTAAGGCCGTTCATCTATGCAAATGTTCAATAACGTCATGCATGATTGATAATTATGTGTCGTGCCATATGTCGATATAGGCAAAATGATAGTCATGTTCAATCAGTTAAATTTTACTCGTAGATACCTATGAAACGTGTACTAGATATGAGGAAATACTACAGGGATACTCAATCGAATGTTGGCCCACTCTGTCTTAATATAAAACCAATTTCAGCACCAACTAAAGATTTATCCGATGATTCCGATAATTATTCTCTCACAGACGTGTCAAGTATTGTTGAAACAAAATCATCATTAATCAATTGCGATCAAACACCGAAATTTAATCATGCATCTATTGAATCAAGATCAACAACGCAAATAGATAGTTCAACATATGATCAAAATGTACTCGATGATCAATTATCTCAATCACTATTTGACTACGCAAATAGTTTCAATCTAGATCAAAGTGTGTATTCAATAGTAGATTTAAAAAATCAATTGGATTCTACAAATCTTATTAAGAAGCCATCAGCAAAACAAAGAACGCAATTATCAGCAAATTGTATTATACCATCTTTGGTTGAAAATACTCAATGGAAAAAGCAGAAAAGTTATGACCATTTTAAATATGACAGTCAATTGAAAAGGAGTATTCAACAAGATTTAACTAAATTAATACCGTCTAATTTTTTTTCTATGAAAACAAATAAAGATTCAGGTGGTGACGATGATGATAATCAATACAGTGACGAAAATACAACAATCCCAGATGGATCAAAATTTGAATGGGAATATTTATCCGATGCAATCGATCATTCGAATAAATCATCAAAAATTTCATTACAAAATTCTCCAATAACAACTAACAGCAATCATATGAATTCAAATTATTTAAAAGATTTTCAAGAATTACCTTCAGCAAATTTTACAAAAACATTTTCTACTTCACCAATTATTATTTGTGAGAAAACGAAACAATTTAATATTGACAAACATAAACAGGATCAACTTCTTCATGAATATACTTCACTAATACGTCCTGCTCATATTATCGTTAGAGAAATATTTTACAAATCTTCTCCCGTTAATCCATCAATTTTGGCCGATAATCTGCCATCATTTTTAACTGCCTCTAGTAAACCGTGCTCAGTACCTAAACCATGTATTCATCCAAAACATAAACTAATCTATGAACCCATATCGTTAGCACGAAATAAACTTCACACTGCTGATGATCAATCACAAAAAATTATTATTGAATATGATCACGTTAATGTTAATGTTGATAAAACTGTCAGACAACGAAAAGAAATAAAGCGTGTTAATCCAAATCAATATATTCAACAGTATGGAAATTCATTGTATACAAATGAAGTATTTCGAAATTTATTGACAAAGATTATAGCGTAGACTCTTCATTTGATCAATTGACTTTTTGTGGCAAAAGATAAAAAAAAAATCTTTCTTTTCAATTGCCTCAAATAAATCATATTAACAGATACGAAGTATATTTATTTCATTAAAATTAGGGGTGCACCAATTCCAGTTCGAGTCCATTCAATTCCTAAAATTGGTTGAAATCGGTTGGAATTGGAATTGGTCTCCTTATTTGCATGAGTACTTTCTGGCTGCCGGTTTCCAAACTGACTTCGACACCAAGTTTTCACATTAGGTTTAGATAGGCATTCCGATTGTATCAAAAAAGTGAGGATGCTCAACATGACTTAGAACGTCGAAGATATGGTCATCATGACTGAGAATCTGCTGCTGCCGTGCTACCATGAATATCTCTACAGGGCGTTCCATTTTGCTTCGCGACGACTGGAACAGAATAAAGACATGCAGAATTGAGAGAGACCATCTGTCAGATTTAGTTGTTAAAAACGGTATTTGTCCGATTCTGTCAGAAGAATGCTAAATAGAGTTTATAAACTAATTTTCTACTATTGTACTATTAAGTTTTAAGGCTCTTATTATTTGACCTCGATCAAGTAAAGTAATATACATATTTTGCATCCGATAAAAAGCGATAGATGTCATTTCTGTTACCAGATTTGTTCGAATATTTACCAATAATATTTTGTCAATACTTGTTGCTTTGCTTTGCTTGGGTCGGGTGGGTGTGGGCTGCTCGAATCTCGTTTACTTTACGCTGATAATCAACGAATTTGATCCGTTAAATGCATGTCTCATTTTTAAATGTTCAACATTTCGTTTCGATATCAACATACGAAATTGAAAATACTTTAGTTTTCATAATATTGTGTGACTGATTGTTAATATCGTTATTTTATATTATTTGGCAATGTCAGTGTGAGTAGTTATTCAATCCCAAATCATTTTATTTACACCTAGTATCGTTTGAATGCAACTGAAACACGTAACAGCATGCATTAATTCATCCAGTACGATAAATTCAACTCTTATGAATATAAAAGTATAATTGATAATCTTAAACAGCTGAGCAATTTAACCAGCAAAGTAGAGTGTTACTAATTTGAACAATCGTCATTCCAAAACTTTCTCGATCAGTATAAGCAATATATAGAAAAAGTATCAAACTAGCTTCTTATTATTTAGTTAGTAATGCATGTTTTCTTTTTCAGTTTTACTATTTGATGATTACACTAGGTATTTTTTTTCTCTTGACAACTGTTACAATAAAAAATTTGCTAACATATTTTACATCTTCATAGATTTTGCGACTCACACTCAGTGTAGATCTTCTCTTTAGTCGTACCAATATCTTTCTTCACACAGATCGACAAACTCAATACAGCAGTAGTATAAAACATTTTCGAGAATATAATTTATTTTCTGCTATGAATGAGCGAGAGAGCAGAGCGCTAGTTGAAACGTTCTATGTTGAAGTACAATAAATGAAGGAGTAAATTGTTTATTTGAAAATTTTGATTATTCGATAGCATAGCTTGTTATCGGTTAAGACATGAATATTTCAGCAAATAGGAAAAAAACTTACGTAATGATTTAGCTATTGCATTGTAGATATTAAATCAGTTTACGATGAAATCAGATGTAACAGTAACAAATGATTGGGTTTATCGTCGATTTTTTCTTTCGAATATTGATTCAGCACCTCGCCTATTCTGTTTTAATACATCCGATGGTTTTACTTTTGGGCAAATTAATCTAGATGTAAGTTATCAAGTTAAATTTACTGTTTTATCATGGCCTCTTATATTTATAAGATTGCATTATAATCAGTTTCAATTGAACTAAATTTTCATTTTGAGCATAGAGTATCTGTTATTTTTTCGGGATGTGTGATCTATAAATGGTTTTACATCCAATACGATAAGCATTATCACTCACTTCACTCCACTAAAGTTCATCATAGATAGACATGATGAATAGCAAAGATTGAAAACCCATTGAGCCCAACTCTCATCCGTACAATTCGATTCTGTTCGATCTCTGATTCACAAATTGTCATGGACATGTCCGAGAAGCTTGGGTAAAAGTTAACTGAAACAATGTGCAGTGCACACTGTGTACCCAAAAATATTGAATAACGCAATATTATTATGCAATTAGCAACAACACATATTTTATGTCGCATAGGAATTTCACACAGATTTCACTAACGAATTTTTCATTGAAAATACCTTTTTTCCAAGTATTAGTTTCAATATTTAGAACGATGAACTTGTGTGTGAATCAGTTGACACAAATCATTTTGGCTTTCAAATCAATCACTTATGTTGGCTTTCAAACACTGTCTATCGACCTTCTCGTAAACAGATTAAGTATGATACATAGGAAATAATCTTTCTATATCAGCGAGTGATCGAAAGCTATTTTTACAGCATTCTTCTAAATTTTTAAATCACTAAAAAGAATTGAAAGTTATTGCACCATAATAAATATTTCGTATTCTTTACATACTTGATTTACAGATTCATAGAATAGCCTTGACGAAATCAGTTGATTAGGTTTGAACGAATTAAATGATACCAAAACAAGAAGTGCACTTATCTGAGTTTATATTGACTGAAAAAGTAATAATTTCTCTATACAACAGTTTACTAATGATTTGCTTGTTCAACGTCATTCATCCACATTAATTAACTGAATAAGATATTTTCCATGAAGTTAGACAAGTTTCGGGTTTCTATTGAAAATAGGCTTATAAATTGAGTGTAACTCTTTGAGAAAAGTTTGACCGTCATGGTATTTCATATCGAATAATACTACCTTTCATTTTATTTAAAAATATACTTGTAATACAACCTATACAATAAAGAGAAATATTTTCTACAAAACCAATGTACATGTTCTTCTTGGTAAAAAGATCAACTGATAGCTTAGAAAAATCTATAAAATTTAATAAAAGAAAACTGGTATTAAATAAGCGTTGCGAAAACTCTTCACTCTTCAAAAGCTTAAAAAATCAATATATACTTCGTCGAGCCATTTTTCAATTACTAATCAATTCATCTAGAATTGGTTTAACAACTTTGCCAACATTGAACCGAAGACAACAAGCGTCATTAATTTATCAGAATGAAAATAAGGATTCAGTACAAAATCTAAAAGTAAATCAACTGTTTATTATTATTTTGTCTTTATTTCTTGTGCTGTTTTCAAGTGGCTAGATGAAACAGTACGTTTAACAACTTCATCCATTGATTATAACAAATCTTTTGATCAAATCTCAACTAGTCATTTAAATGGAACAGTTAAAATTTATAACGCATCTCAATATAGTTTATCATATCAATTCGTATTTTCTAATCATGGAGTGCTTCATCAATTAAAATGGAATCCTACTGAATCTAATCTTGTATATAAAAAAACACATAAAACTCCATTTTAATTTCAATTGTAAGGACTTTTATTTTTAGCTCCTTCTTGCTCATCAAAGTCGACTAAATATTTTTGACTTTGAACATAAAACAATTGGATTAACGTTAAATTATGACGGAAAAGAACATTTAGCCGATTGTACATGGATAACAAATGATATTATTATTGGTCGACATCGACAACAGATACTTATTTGGGATAAACGAGCAAGTCGGTATGTATATCTAAAAAAGATGTATTTTGGTTAAATTTTGAATTACTTAGAGAACCAATTCGAAATGAAATATTAGATCCATTTGGACAATTAGAAAAATTGAAATGTAGTTTAGCATCACCTAATCATTTAATATCAACTTATGATGCACGTCTTGCTAAAATAAAAATTTATGATATTCGTTTTTTGACTGTAAGCTTGAAATATTCTCTCTTGATTGATTTAAAGATAAATGAAACATGATTTAGATGAGACAAGTTGAATCTTTTGATAATATATCATCGTCATTTCTTGATTATCATTGGACAATAAATAAAATGGCTATTGTTGTTGCTACACATCAAGGTTTATTACATTGGATTGATGTTAATATACCATTAAATTCAAAAATATTCAAATAAAAAACAATGAAACAACAGTGTACTTATTTTTGTTTTATGATAGTTTCATTAATTTCATTTCGTTTGTTTATTTTTATATGAATACTTTTTTGTCTTGTTTTCGGTGTTCTTTTGCTTATATATTTTTGTTCAAATTCTCGATATATACAGATGAAAATAAATGATGTAAACTTAAAATTCGTCTTTTGTTGTACGTTAAAAGAGTTTTTCAGAGCCTAAAATATGTTTCTGTAAATAAAATTTGTTTCTAAAATATTGAGTAACACAGATTTTATTATTTTTCTAAATAAAAAACGAGTTTCGTAAGCACACAAGAACCTGTTAGCTATGATAAAAACATATATTATTAATATTGAAATTTTTTTTTTGAAAACAAATATTAAAGTTTTGATTAGATCCAATCTTCACAAAAGATTATAGCTTTGGTTATGGCAAAGAGAATCAGAGATTGAACACTCACATCAAATCTTTCGGAGTCAATATCAAATAGTTTTTAATCTAGTATTAATGTTCTCAATAATCTTCTTACCCATGTATCCCAGCAATAAAAAAAAATAAGTATAACTTAGTATCTAATACTAGAAATATTTATTACAGTTGAAAATTCATCATTGCAACATCACGATAAATTATTAAAAAACAAATTGTCCTGCTGCGATAGTATTCAGAAAATGTTTCGAATTTCACTACTGTGACAATATTCAACTAGACATAAAAAGAATCAATAGATGACTGTTACTGATGATCCCATGGAAAACTGAAAAAAAAGTTTAATTAATAGTTGACATTTGAAGAGATAAATATGTTAGAATTATTAGTAAAGATTTTGCCAACTAGTGTTACGGAACAAGATATTAATCCTGATATAAATCGAGTCCTTCAATCTATTCTTTCGAATATTGCAATTAATTTTGTTGATAATCGATTCGCAATTAGGTGACAAAAAATCGATGTAGGGTAATTTCTTCATTTAATTACAAATGATTAAAATCAGAAGTGGCCAAAATAATCGATCGAGTAGTGATCATTTTGGTTTAACTTTTGATTAATCAATAATCAACATCGAGTGATTATAACCGAATACAAATAGATTGTTTGATTAACATCTATATAGAGGTGTCAGTACAATTGAATTAAAAATACCACCTGGTAGATCCAGAATTATAAGAACAAAAAGTCTTCTTCAAAAAGTCAAAAATAGACTAATTTACAAAGGTCGACCAAATGCAAGAAAATTAGCTAATCCGCTTGGTGTTTCAAAGGGAACAATCGGTCGAATTATGCATGGTGATCTTCATTTACATGCCTATCATATTACAATTCAGCCAAATCTAAAGGATGAACAAAAAGAAGAACGAGTATCATTTCCGTATTGGGTTCGAAAGTCATTAAAAAAACAAGATTGAGAAAAGATCTTATTTTCTGATGAAAAATATTTCGAATTAGATGACATTTACAATCGTCAAATGATCGTGTTTATTCTGCTTGTCGGCAGGAGGCTGATGAACATAAAGAAATAAGGTTGAAGGCCAAGTTTTCAAAACGAATCATGATATGGCTTGCAGCAGCGAAATATGGTCTTTCAATTCATACAGTGTCAAATCTCAAATTAGTACTAATTCAAAAAAATCTGCGTGCCAAAATTTTTAAAATTTCAACCTCACAAAATTTAAAAATTTTTAGCAATCAGAAATGCACATAGGAACAAGAATTAACTTATCCATAATTTTGTACAATTGAATTCAATTATTAAAAAACTGAACAGCCATTCAGGGAAACCCTACTGTCTGTGTGTAGACTACCCAGTAGATCAGATATCAGATATTTACCTGCCAGTTCTATCAGAACCAAACCAGTGGATCAGATATGTAGCATTGCTTTCAATTTATTCAATAGCATCGGAGACAACAAAACAATCATCAACAAAATATTTACGGAAAAGTGTTAAACAGAACTTTATTGCGAAATAAAAAATAATGCAGACTGGCATCGAATAGATAAGATAAGATAAAATATATTAATAGAAAGTTTAAAACCAGAAACATATGTTTGACCGAGTTATACAGCTTGTTCAAACGAGCTAATACCAGTGTTTGTACAATTTTTAAAATGAAATAGAACTGTAAAAACTATCGTCGATTTTGGATAGCTAGATGTCCTCTAAATGAATTTTAAAATTTTGATAGATAAGAAAAACCCTGTTCAGCAACTTGTGTATTAATAGATGCGTAAATATCGTTATGACATGGATGATCAGGTCGCATCACTGTTTTACATATAGGCCTCTTGTGATTTTTTTACATGGAATCGGTCAATAGCCGTTGTCAGTGATGTAAGAAATTGCGTCGAATCTGCTGACTTTAACTCATTTGAACCGAAATGTCGATTGATAAATAATTTCAATGTGCACGCACAATCATGACACATTGCATTAGGCAATTGACCGAATCGCAATATAGTTCAAATATGACGAAGCACTCGTCGCACTATTGTTGTTGTAGACAATAAAGAAGAAATACTTTATATATTAATAAGATTAGAAATGAAATTTTCACGCGCACTTCCTTCTGAGCATGGCTGTTCTGTAAATCCAACTATTACTGAACAGCTCAAAAATGTCGCTAAAAATCTATATGAGCTAATTTTTAGTTTACTGTTTATTCCAGATCTGAAGACATTGCATAAAGCATCATCATAGTGACCATCCTTATCTACATATTCCATTAGTACTAATTTATCTAAAGTTGTTTCTTTATTTTTGAGAACTATCTGCTGAACTGGTATTGATTCCTCGTTCACAAATGTAACAATTTTTGGCTGATGTAATTGTCAGTATCTATGATCGACATTACGCGCTAAAAGCAGAAAATAAGAGTGCAAAGAAAAACTACTCACGCAAAAGTGTGTACCTGTTCTCAATGGAGAATATAAACATCCCATTTGAACGGGCCCTAGTTCATATATGGAATTGTCAAAAACATCTTTGTATTGACATGCAAGTCTATTAGCTTTTTGATGTCCATCGACAATGAAGACTTTTGAGCATGTAGTTGGATTACATCTTTTAGTAAATCGTTGATGTTGTGTCCAAAACCCAACGAAATTTTCGTACAGTTCGGATTGAGTCTTTGAAAAAAAATCATTGCACTCATCAACATCGCGTACCGACATCGGTATAATAGAAACTTTTTGATTCTTTGTTATAAAAAGAAGCTTAACTATATTTATTAAAAGCCAAGTCAATTGAAAGTATCTTTCATCCAACAATGTTCTAAGAAAATATTGACGAGAAAGATTTTTAAAAAATATTAGAAAAAGGAACATTATCGTACATACTATCTGTAGTAGTTGGTCGATTTTTGGTTTTGTCTGTTTTCGATCAATTAAATTTTCGAGTTATATGCACTTGTGTATCCTTCAAACGGCACATTATTTTGTATTAGTTGTTGCTCAAAATCAATCCGCAAATTTTGATCGAATACTTGATTTCCAGTTAAATAAATAAATTGATCGTTTTTTATTGATTCTAGTATGATGAATTTCATTTTTTGTTGTATATAAAAATTTGGAAATATTTGAACATGACAATCGTCACAGGTACAGGTGCAAATGACTAGTTATGAAAATATAGATGTGGTGATTACTATCAAAAACTATGATTTTATCACTCATGTAGTCGATAATGTAAAAATAATAGACGTTAATTTCCATTATCGGCTACATGAGTACTTACGAGCCTTAAAACTTTTTGTTAAAGATAAGACATTTTTTGAACGATGAGAAAAGACCGACTTCAATTGCTTTTCATACTGAATACACTTTATTGTATACGGTCACAAGTACAGCTCATATACACCATCAGACTCAGCAATTCTATTTTTCTGATATTTATCAATCATTTCATCTAGATCATGTTGCTGGAACATTTGACTGAATCTTGTTTTTATAAAGATAAATTCGATTATTGCTCTTAATTTATGAATTTCATATGAGTTTTTAAAATGTAAATTAATGATATTAGCAATATGGTCATATTTTTTCGGTAATTCCATTGGTAAAAAGTTGTTTAGCATCATTACATATATTATTTTGTCTAAAGGCATTGTTCGCAGCATTAGAATTAACGTATGCTCTTCATCTGTAATATGCACCGCTGTTCGTGGTGATATGAGTTGATCGGAATGATCCATTTGATAAGAGTATCTTAAAATGTTTAGAGAAGTCAAATGCTTTTAAAATATATCTTTTAATTGTTAATTGACCGATTGAGCGGTTTTTTTCCTTTTATTTAATCAATAACGAAGATTTAAAAATCAGTATATGTTAAAAAAAGTTTGAAAATATCAAACGCGTATAAAATGAATAAAAGTTAATATTAAAATGGCCAAATTTTAAAAATATTGTATTCGAAATGATTTAGTATTTTTTCATTCTCCTTGTTTGTGTTCATATTTGACGCTTATGGACATTGGCATTCATTTCAGTTTTTCGTTTTGAACATGTTGATCTTGGCAAAACTTGGGTTAGTACATCTGCATCATTATTATTCATGATTATTTGCTGTTCCAATGTTTCTTGAGTTGCTAAATTATTCGTGTGCGGTTTCGGTATCAATAGTCTTCCTTGTTCAAGCTCTATATTTATTGAATCTTCAGTATCTACTACACTTCTTGCAACATCAGAAGGTTGAACACGTTGAATATTCCACCTTACATGATTTAAATAAAAAGCGTTTGAATTGATTATTTCGATTACCTCATCTGATAAAGTCCAATTGTTATGCGTAAAGACTAGACATGAACCAAACCCAAACAGTTTGAATTTGGTCTAATGAGTTTGAGTTTGGGTTTGGGTCAGAGATGCCAGATGGGTTGGGTCGTCACTGCTACCCACCGGGTTGGGTGACCCAGGGGTTAACCCTAAGCCAACCCAACGTAGTCCTCCAGCCATTTGAGAATTTTAAACCCTAACCCACCCGTCAAGCTTAACGTATGAACCCAATCGGCCAACCCTCGGGTTACCTTTGGGTTAACCCATGAATAAAGTATATTGTAAAATTATTCACAAAAGGGATTTTTTATGCAGATTTCTTTATAACACAACATAGGGTATGAATCATCTTTTCCCTATTTATAATTGATTTAATTGCATAGTCAAACGTAACAGACAAGAATCGGACTTTATCCTCTTATGATCTCTGCTTTATATCTCTTTCTTGTAATCATCTATTTTCTTCTTCCCTTCTCTGCTTCATGTCTCTTGTTGCCCTTCTGCTATAGAGGCAGATTTCATTATCTTCTTTACTAGATCTTTTTTTGCCTTCTATATATTCTTCGATTGGTGTTGTTCAGAATACATCTCGAGCGATTTCTATCATAATTTTACATTAGTACACCATGCTGGTTGAGTTTCAGGGCTGGCTTGTCCCGGGGGTTGTGGCAACCCCCAATAATCGAAGACTTTTGTTTTTTTCAGTGCAGCCGAAAATTTTTTCTTGCGTTCTGTTAGAAAAATCCGACACAAACCCCCCAATATTTGCTTCCTCGGACAGGTCCTGTTGAGCTATTAGTTTTTATTTTAGTTTTACATTGACTTAAAAAAACTAAAACTTTTGGAAGTCATCACTGTTGTTTTCGATATATTAGAGAAATACATCACGATATAGACATCGATTTCGGATCAACACAATTTTGTTTAATGACACTACTTCTAAATAAAATTTTAGATTCGATTAATTGTATATTATATTACATACAAATGAATAATAATAACTCTTCAGTTTATTTTTATTGGTGAATTTATTCGCTCAAATGAAAATGATTTCGTTCACAAATGTAATAGAAATCTGTTGATAGCCATAGAACTCTATCAGCAGTGTACAATTTTTACACATAGCAGAGAATTGAAATGCATTATAACCAGGGTTAACCCAATGGGTTACCCGGCGGGCTGTGCTGAAGGGCTCAACTCAACCCAATGACCCATTCGCTGAAAGAGAAATAGAAATTGGGTTGAAACTCATCGGTTTTTTCTATCAGCTACCGTATCCCCCCTCAGAATCGACTGGCCACTTTGGAGTATAGGTTTGGGCTGAAATTTTCACGAATGGATGGGCCTAGTGAGAAACGCTTGTGGTAAAAGTTTCAGCCTTGCATACCTTACTAAACTAGACTTATGACTTGTTTTTATAGCTTCCACAAGAATTGCTATAACTTAATTACTATGAGAGCTATCGAAGTCGGGTCGGTTTTAAATTAAAGCTAGCCTCCATACGCAAGTTTTCATTACACAAAATTTTGAAATTCCCTTCTGTTCATATTTTTATAAGCATTTTATTCGGTATGACTGCCAAAGTAGGTATAAAAAACGCACTAAATCGGACTTTTCTCAGTCCAGGAATCCAATATCGAAAATCCGTCTGATAAAAAGTTAGCTATAATTGAAACCTTTAAAATAAAAATAAATCTCAGGGAAAGCTAAAGCCAAACGAAAGTTATGGCAATTTTTCTACTTGAAATCCGTGGTTTTATACCAACATTGAGGAATTTTTGGAAAGGTGTGTGGGAGTAAGGGAGATGAAAGAGTATTTCTTCAATAAGTCTGTCAAAACTTGACCTTTTTCCAAAAAATTATAGATATTCTGAAAGAGGAGATCACGGGGAATCTTTCTATGATAAAAACACGATTTCGATGTTTTTCGAAAAATCGGCTTTTCTGAGTGGGGAGGGCCCTTAAATTTACTATCCATATATTATTAAGCATGATCATAATTGAATCTCAGATGCTCGTCTTTCGCTATCAATTTTAAAAGAAAAGTAGCATAGAGTATTCGACATATTTTTATAATCATGATGCATGGTGAGTAAAAGGTTATTCATGAGGGCGTGGGTGTTCACTTCCATTTGACAGCCATAGTCACACACCCACACCCACACCCTCAAGATGGAAACGTATTTCTATTTGTGACAACGGGATACTAATATGTAATGTAACACAACAATAGACATGGATATAGAGAGCACGAACTGCACAAGACGACAAAAGAGAAAAAACATCAAAAGTAAACAGTGTTTTCGTAGGAAATGCACTCATGTTTTGTCAACCTTCGATCGAATTTTAGAAGCATAAGACCAAGCATGGGGTATATAAATATGACTCACGTATTTATATTCCCAAATACTTTAATATCGATGAGTTTTATTCAAATTAATTTTGGGATTCATCTTTTTTACTAAAAATACAAGTTTGTAATGACTGCAATTTGTGCCAAATAAATAAAAACCTCCCTAAAACTACGTGAAACTGGGTTTGACGCAACTAGAAAAGGTTTTAATCTTGTTCCAAAGTTCTCGCTGTTTTAAAAATAGTGTGTGTGTGTGTCAGCTTTTTGCAGTGCTTCATAAAAGGGGGAACAGCCTGATTTCCAGGAATAGAAATCATTAGAAATCATCATACATTAAAGATGTGACGAACGACTCAGCTGTTAGAAATTACAAGAAGCAGATGTAAATAAGTGTAAATCACAGAAGTTTTCGAGCTATACAGTGAAAGAAAATATTGATTTCTATTGATTACTGATGATTTTTAGTAATTTCCTTTTTTTCCAGAATGTGCAATGTTGTCAGTGGCCACTGTTGATTTCTATTGATTTTTCATAATTTTTCAACATTTCTAAACGTTTCCAATGGTTTCTGCTGGTTTGTAATGATGATATAAAAAGTGACTTCCAGTCATAGAAGTCACTGGAAATCATAAGGAATCAAACAAATTACTGGAAACCAAGTGATCAGTTTGTTTTACCTTTGCTTCACACACTTGTATATATTTGTATATATAAATCATGGCTTTTGGCTTCATACACGTGTATCATTTGTAGATATAAATTATGGCTTTTCTCTTCTTTTTCGTGTCGTACTAGTCTTATCTTTGTGCTTGTCCTCTTATTTTTATGTGGTACTCTCTTTATCTATTCTTTTTTTTCATGCTTACAATTCAATCTTCGATTGCAGTAAAAATGGGTAAGCTGTTTGCTAGTGGACTGATACCATTGAGTTTTGAAGACTATTGTGAGTGAATAATTTAAACTTTTCCAAGATCCGACAAGTCTGATATCTTTACCTTTAATAGCCTATGTGAGAACAATACATGCCACTCTTAATTCGTGGCTATATCACAAGGTCATACTGCTGGCCACCAGAGTGCTATCGTAAATATTTGGAAGTAACTAGTTATTATAAAATAGTTAACATATTGCTACTGAGCAATACGGTGATAGTTTTGGATCGGAATTCCATTTCAGAAAGATATTGGTTAAGAAGCCAATCATAACGACATAAAAATTTCAATAAATCAAAGTGAGTGATATCTGTGCTTGAGATAAGCATTTTTTAGAAGAAAATGAAGATTAGTACATGAAACTGACAAATATACGATTATGTCAAGTGAAAGAATTACTCCTACTAGCTAAAAAATAGTACACAGATTTAAAACACCAGAAAAAGGTTTTCCTGCAGATAAATTTGATGCGATATTGCTTAGAAGTTTAAAATTATGTGTAAAATAGAAAAGCTTTCAAGACATATTCAAAATATTTGCGGTAGAACCCTAACATTTCGCTTTTCTTAGAGAATCCAGAAGTTTTGAATGACATGAACATCGCTCGGATTGGGAGGATTCTTACAGTAAAATTTTGAGAGTGACAGGGGTAGAGTTATAGAATAGTAATGTAAAGTAACAACAAAGAGACAAGAATTCCTAGGTGAAAGACACATGATCGTAAACGGCCAGCAACGATAGTATACGTTAGCGTTTTCGCCCGTGTACGATCGTTTCTGGTCGCCGTAATGCTCGACCTGCGAAATGAAGTGAGAAAGAGTAGCAAAAAAATATCAATTAATGGAGATGAATTCTTTCGAAAAAAGACTTCCAGAATAAAAATTCATAGTTGATCAAACAACAATCGAAATACGTCTAGAAATTCATCATATTTTTTCAATGAAAATTTTGTAAAAAAAATTTTGAAGCATTATACTCAAATTTAGCGTTCTATATCTTTTAGCTCGCTTTCTTCTATGTTACATTCCACCTTTCCTTAACTGGAATCTATTTGTTTAGACTAATAAATCATGCTATGCAGTTTGCTAGAAATATAGCTATCATTTTCCTCGTCATACTGTCGAGCTTATTCTGTCTAGTCGATTTTGAATAAAACAAGACTCACCTAAGATTATAATATACGGAAAACCACTGGATTATGCAAATAAATCTCCTGATAATTCTACTTAGAATTATTTAAATCAATAATCCTTCTAGATTATAAGAGTCTACCGAGGCCTATCATGGGTTATAGGGGTCTATTGTGGTCTACAATGGTCCACCATAAGCTGCAAGAGTCTACCAAACTCTTCAAGGTTTACAAAACCATGTGAGACTCTCGAAATACGTTTCACAGAACAACATTTATAACGAGATACTATATGTGAGCGTAATGAAACTACACTTAACAGGAGAGAACCTCAATGTCGGTATAATAACACGACACATCTTACTATAGACTGTATGATATAAATGTACCCATATCCTCAAAATTGTCGCACTTTTGACAATTATTCACGATTTTCTCAGGAAAAATCAGGAAAAGTCATAAATTTCAGTGATTTTGACTTAACTGTTCACATCGGTAATATTATGGAAAATCATATCATATCATTCATCTTATCGTCTCACTGTATTAGTAGTTCTATCTGTCTCCGTGCTCCAG